TCGCGTGCACCCAAGCTACCTCCCCTACGTCCACAATGCCGCACGGGGCAAAGGAGCAAAGTGGTAGGCTTACTTCGCCCCCCCCCCCCCTCCCCCCATCGCACCCATGAGAGAGAAAGACAATTGACCGGAGACAAAACCAGGGTCCCACCACTCCTTGCTGCCGTCGCCGTCGGCTACGGCGTGACTACGTACCGCGAAGCGCAGATCCAAAAACACCTGTCCGCCATCAGCAATGTGCCCATGCCCGCTCAGGAATCCGAGGTCGAGTTCGAGAAGCGCCGGCAAAAGGCCAACGCGCTGGCCGATGCGTACGGCGACCGGACGAGCCTCGAGGAGCTCGAGCACGCCATGAGGGTCTATGAAGCGCAGCAAGGGAATGAGTGAAGAATCACCACCACCACCTTTAATTATGGTGGGAGAGTGTATTACCTGCAATTTACTGGGCTCAAGATTGGCGTTTTGGGGAGTTTTGTCACTCATATGTTTGTAGTGATGTGGATTGGGATGGTCGGTTGTGTAGCTGGAGTTTGTGGGTTTCCTTTTACCATCTTTTTGGAGGGTTACTTTAACGACCATGATTGTATCGTATATAGTATTGAAGGACGGTTTTGGATATATACCTGGGTTGGCATTATTTCGGGAGATTTGCTCTGCTCAGTTGTTTGGCTTTATGGGCAGTTTGGTTTGCCGAGAGTGGGCATAGGGCATCTTCACTCATGAATATATATATATATATATATATATGCACCTCAACAGGGGCCTATTTTGAAATTTTGCCTGCTCAGGATTCTGACGTTGGAAGTTGAATAGGTAGCCCTGGCTTGTGTTCGTATGGTTGACTGTATGGGACCCTACCGATGGAGGGTATTTTATGAAGTTAGGTAGACCAACTTCCAGGTCATTACTAGCAGACTGACCGTTCGGTCTTCAGCAAGCTGCAATGGCGGTGATGGGCATGTCTTGTAGTTTGCTGTAGTAATCTAAAACGCTGAAGAAGGAAAAAAGATTAAAATGAACACACAACACCAGGGATTCGCTGGTCGTCACCGACCCAACTACTAGTCTGCGGTTACTGTTTTATATCGGACGGGATCCCGAGTTCCCCAGTACCTATGGTTGTGTGTGACAAAATAGGACAGTAAAACGAGTTATATCCTGGTGGTATCGAGCGTTGAGCTGTTGTAATGTGCGTGTAGAACTGAGAGCCGCCATGCATGTGCACAAACCCGTTTCTTGGTTTCATCGTACGTAGTCTTATTAATTACCAACTTTAAACCCAGGCCAGCAACATTGACACCTTACATAGTGCAAGCACTCAAGCTCTCACAGGTTAAGCAGGCATTATTCTATTTTGGGCTTCCTATCCGCTCGAGCTGCACTATACTGGCCAGCATGGTTTGAATAATAATGCTTGCCTCTGCGGCTGATAAGCGTGTATGTCGAATCCCGCGACCTGATAGGTAGCTGCACACGGGAACACAGATATAAGTGAAATATGTGCAAGCGGAAGCGTGAATTCAGCCCTAGGAGGCAGTGACAGAGCTGAAATTGGATCTGGTACCTGTTCGCATGCTCATAGGGCTGAATCTGATCTGGCGGAGCCGGGGTATTAAAAGGGGCTGGACAAGATTGCCGGGATTTAGCGTGCTTGAACCAGGGGTGCTCACTGCTCTGATTCGATCGACTTTCAACTCCCCGTCCTGAGCTGCGTCGTCCGTCCTCACAACCACATGGATTATATCTCAGAGTTATCGTCAAGATAATGCCTGCCAAGCCATTGCTGCCGTCCTCGTTGTGCTGTGTGATGTCGGTTACTCACCAACAGGCAGCTGTCCCAAAACGGAAACAAGATTGTTGATGGGCGGCGCCCGGGCAGATTGCGATAGGCTGGGAGACCGAGGAACCGAGATATCGGCCCGTCAGGTACGCAGGCCTCAGCTTGGTACAGCCAACGAAGCTTGCCTGTGACGTAGATATATGCCACGGCCAGAACGCTAAACCAGAAGTGAGATATCTCCGATGCGGCTGAGGATTGAAGAGTCAAGGACGAGACTTAATCCGTAGACTTTCAATAAATGGAGAGAATTCGCCCATTCGCGAACACGCAACATCAGACCATTATTATGGAGATTTCTTCTTTTGCCCAAGATTCTTTATATGTGTGTCACATCGGAAAGTAAGTCGAGATGATGCAGCAGGCTGAGGCGCAACCGCAACCGCGGCCACCACGAACCCCACCAGCTGGGTCTTGCACCGAGTGTCGTCGCAGGAAACAAAAGGTACCTCCGATCGTGAAACCCCCAGACGCCGCCATCGAGAATGATTTCTGACTGGTCTCACTCAAAACAGTGCGATAAAGGCCAGCCTTGCAGCAACTGCAAGCGGCGATTCCCGGAGCCGGAGTGCGTGTATCTTACAGCAAAGTGAATACACCCTCCTTACCATACCCGTATCCCATAATCCTGTTATACGGTAATCTGACAACCATACTACACAGAAAATCAAGCAAGAGAAGACCCCTCATCCGCCTCGCCTCAAGCCAGGTTCCAGCCCAGTTGGCAGGCCCGGCTCCTTACACACGCAAAGTCCCTATCCCAAGGTCACCCAAAGCTCGTCCGCGCCAACGACCGGTGCTGCTCGCAAAATGGTCGGGCGTGAACCTGACCACAGAGTATCCTGTGTATCAGGTTGATGCCGACCATGACACCACGGTCTGGGAGACCATCGAGGAGCCAGGACCTACGCCACAGCCAACAGAGACGCCAAAGAAGCCGCCAAAGCCGTCCAAGCGCTCAGCACAGACGACGACGACGAGCGCATCCTTGGCCATCTCAAAACTCCTCAATGGTAAAGGCGGCGGCAATGTATGGCAATTCACCAGCCCCGTCGACGGCATGACGGCCTTACCCATCCCAGCCACGAAGCAAAACGCCCTGCTGGTCCACACGTTCGCCAAGCTGCTGCACCACTTCAAGGGGTCCTTCGACGGCGACCCGGACCCCGACAATCCGTTCGTCAAGGATTATGTGCCCTGGTGCATCCAATCGCCGCTGCTGGCGCATACCTCGCTCTACATATCCGCTCGGTCGCTGATGGAGCGGCAGTACATCGACCAGACGTCCAGCATGCGGATGAAGGGCCACGCCATCCACACGCTAAACACGCACCTGCAGTCGGAAAACTGGGCCAGCGACGAGGCCCTGGCCGGCGTCGTGCAGTTCGTGTCGATCGAGTGGTTCTTTGGCGAGCCCGAGGTCGTGATAGCGCATCTGCGCGGGCTGCGGGAGATGGTCCGGCTCCGCGGCGGGTTCACGCAGGTCGGCGTCGGTGCGCTGGTCACGAAGGTTGCGCTGGTGGACGATGCCGTCGTGGCCATGTCGCTGGAGACGGATCCGACCCTGCGACCAGCAGAATCAAGTTTCCAATTTGACTACCGGGAGCCGCCGCTCGAGCATTTCAGGTTGCGCTTCAGCTCGCCGTTTCTGCCCGGTTCCTTCGTCTTTGCGTCGCGCGCCAGGGCCATGGGCATACATCCCAGGACGGCCTCGATTCTCGATGATATGCAGTTTCTGATTTCTGCGGTCCTGAGCCTGACGGAGAGCCCGTCGGCGCAAGGGCTCAAGAAGGTCGAGTTAAGTGCGGTGTGGATACACGAGAGGATTTCTAAGCTGCCCAAGGATATTGGTGAAGAAGCGGTCGAGGTTGTGCGAGTTGACGAAGAAGTCGTGACAGCGGCAGCAGAGACCAGCAGCGGCTTACATGCACCACCGCCGGATGATGATGAAGCAGCAGAGGGAAAATCAACGCTGAAACCGCATTCTCTCCTCCCGCAGTACCCAGATTTCGTATCAAGCCCGTCCTCTACCGCAGGAAGCACCGCAGCCGGCGGCGACACTCCTGCTTCGTCGCCACCCAACTACCCAGACAACGACTCGCCGCCGACTAACAACCCAACCTCTTCCTCATCACAGTCTCCTCATTCCCCGCCACCAACAGAACAGACCATCCCAGACCCGCTCTACACGGCCGTCCGTCTTGCCGCCCCCCTCTACGCCCGCGCAATCGGCACCCGCCAGCCCTTCAGCGCCGTCTGCACCCCGGCCGACGCGCTCTCAGTCCTGGCCGCGACGTGGCGCATCCCGCTGGCTCGCTGGCGCGGTGTCATTGGCGTGTTGCTCTTCACGCTTATTTCCATTGTGTCCACGACCAGCAGCTCCGCTGCTCCGGAAAACGGGATGGATGCGGTGCTGGCGGCCCAGCTCCGGCCGCACTCAGGTTTCGTGAAGAGTATACTGCAGATTGGGTTCATGCAGATATCGCTTGAGAACTGGGAGGTATGCAGGGAGAGCATGGGCCGGGTGATGAAGCTTTTGGAGTGGTTGAGGGGTGGGAGTGGTGCCGGTGGTAAAGGACGGACAGGGGAAGGAACATCAAAAGAAAAAGGGAAGGGAAAGGTAGACTGAGGGGTCGTGATCTCACTGGACCATATGATATACCTATCTTTCTGCGTGGCAGCATTTCGGAATACAAGACAACAAAAATATGTTGGACATTATGAACTCCGTGTCGGCGGAAGTGGCTCTGGGTCATGATGTTGCTGCAGGTAATGGTAATAGTCTACTAGTAACTACCGCAGATCAACAAACCAACCTGGAAGCCACTTACTACTCAAGATCTAGTTTCTTTGGCTATCATGACGAAGCAGTACAAGAAATATTTGAAGAACTAAGGATCAGATAGCTAATCTGTTGTGCCAAAGGAAGCTCCAGTTAACTCCGAGTCTCTACGTGCCTACCAGTAGTTGACTCATCGACGGCCCATCCCTAACCTAAGTATCTGTACCAACCAGGTTAGTAAAACTCACTTGCCTCAGAACGAACGCATGAGCGCACGAGCAGATCGAAACACAGCCTCCCGTCCTGGCTCTCCTGACTCATGATGCCTGTCTGCCTACATTATCAACATTACCTGCACTACACTTCAAAAAGGAGTAAAGAGCGGGTTTAGCTCAGTTGGGAGAGCGTCAGACTGAAGTTTAACTTCAATCCATCTATCTGAAGGTCATGTGTTCGATCCACATAAACCGCAATTTTTGGTGCTTACTAGGAAAACACGCCGAAGAAGTTCCTCTAGAGCAAGCAGACGGCCAAGATCATGCCGTCAAAGTACTACGAAGTTTTCGCGCAACCGCAGTAAGTGCATGCATGTATGGTGCGTCCCTCACTCGTGAGCCACACATCCTACCACAGATTTCTTTAAGTTCTGGAAACTGCAACGATGACAGCTCGTTGTTGCAATTTTGAATTTTTTAGATAGACAGACAGCAAATTTTATTTGCTTTCCTGACTTGAGCGTGTTGGCTAGTAAAACCACCCACCTGTTTCCCAAGATCGACCAGAAGTGAGCTTAATGACCAACGAGTCCACAAAAAGAAAGGGAGAACAAATCAGAAAGACAAAAGGAACACGGAGTTTCCCTGACATGCCTTCAGAAGTCGATATTTTGAACAGTGATGTCTATCTAGCTTTCAGCACATCACGGTGATCCAAGATCTGACAACAGTTGAAATATTCCCCAATGAGAGAACGAAAAAGGTATATTGCAACTGATCTAACTCCCAAGCGCCTTCTTAGACCGCTTACCATTCTTGGACTTGGCAATCTCCTCTTCCTCGTCCTCCCAGTCGCCGTCCTGCTCCATCCTCGTGTTGACCTGCTCTTCCGCATCGCCAGCCAGGCCTTCACTATCAAACCCTTCCTGGTCATCGTACAGATCGCTATCGTAGTCATCCATATCCACATCATCGTCCTCTTCTTCGTCCTTGCCACCCTGCTTGTCGCCGCCGCCGGACTTCTTGTTGCCCGCCTTTGCCTTGCGCTTCTTTTCCACGTTTTCCCTCTGCAGCTTCTTGCGCGCTTCTTTCTCTTTCCTCCGCTGCTCCCACTTCATCTCCAGCTCCTTCATCTCCTCCTTCGATTTGCTGAGGTATTCGTGCCAGAGAACCTTGCCGGCGCAGATGCCCTCCTCCACCTTTGTCATGCGCAGGCGCATGCGTGGCCCCAGTTCCACCATCTTGACCGCGCGACGCTCGACGTGATCGTTTCTGCTCCCATCTTCCTCCCCATTCTCCTGCGCAGCGGCGGCCGCAGCGGCTCTGGCTTTTTGAGAAAGAACCTTTCGGGGGTTCGCGTCCAAGACCTCGACTTCGGCATCCGTGTCGTACTCACTTCCGCTCGTGCCGTCCGTTTGGTAGCCGTCGCCGTTCTCGCCGCCAATCATAAACTCCGAGATGTCCTGCAGTTGGCCGAGGTTCGGTAGCGCGCCCTTCTTGCCCTTTTTGGAGTGCAGCAGCTTCTCGGCGGCGTTCAGTCGTCTTAACGGCTTTGACAGGCCCACTGTTCTCTGCGTGATGGCGTAGTGCCGAAAGTTGATAACAAACGAGCCCTCGTCATTTTCGTCGGTCTGCTCGCGGTTGAGGAGTAATACTCTCTGGATCGAGTTGAGGGGTGTTTTCTGGGGGTTGATTGGCGGGAATAGGGACTGGAAGGCGGTGGTTGTGAGGGATTCGAGGTGTCTGGGGACCTTGGACTTGGCGTCGGAGTTGGGGTTGGTGAAGTTGTTCATGACCAGCTGGAAAGGGGTTTTGTTAGCACAACCACCTCAGGCACATCGACAAGGACATCGGGGTCAGCCTACCAAAGGAGGTGTGATGTACTCCTTTCCGCCGCCTCTTGGACGTCTCTGTGCCTTCTGAACATCTTTGCTGAGGGAGTACTTCTCGACTCGGAAGTGGAAAGTTGGGCCACGGGGGGCAATGCAGAGACGCAGGTTCGTGTTTCCAGACTCTGATCTCGAGAAAAGCAGGAGATGGGTGACGCCCAGGGGTCCGCACATGGTGACATAGTCACGCAGCCGATTAGCTTTCCTCTCTTTCAGACGCGTTGCTGTCCCAGGTTCCATGACGCGCCGGACATCGGTGGCCAATTGACTGATGCTCGAACCGACCTCGCCAGCGCCGATTCGGATGACCATGCTCTTCGGGTCTTTCGTCGTGGCATGGCCATTGAGTGCTGCAGCGGTAACGGGATTGTTTGCGCCGGTATGCGTTCTCTTCTTGGATCTCCTTTTGGCCATCTTTGCGGTTTGTTATTGTGTGTAATCTGTGGTAAATCGTAGTGGTGAGTGAGGCCGGGTCCGGATTCTAGTATCCAGAGAATTGCTGGATCGTTGGCTGTGCTCTGGGACGGGTTGATTGGCAGACAGCTCAGAAAATTTCGGTGGGGGTCCGTCTTATCGCCCTAGCCCCACCGCCGATAAGTATCCTGGCCCCAGAATTTTTGGCACAGGCTTGTGATGCGAGCCGCTCTGTTGACCATGATCCTCCAAGGTTCACCTGACCAGAGGAAAAAAGTCAAAGTCAGACTAAACCGGAAACCCCAAGTTGGCACATATACAAAATGTCTGCCAAAAGGAGGAAAATCTCGCACGACCCTGTGGCCGCACAGGAACCGACAATTGTAACCCCTAAAACCAAGTCCAAGGCGAAGACGAAATCAACGCCAAAGGCAGCATCACCGTCCCCCCCTCCTGCTGAAAAGGAAGTCGACTCTGCCCCTGCCGAGGACATAGCGGTCCCCGAACCCGAAAAGGCCGCTCCTGTAACATTTAAGGATCTTGTGAGCAACCGCAATATCAATTCTACCAGGATCATGTCACTAACATATTTCCCCCTTAGGGAATCGTCGACCCCCTTTGCGATGCCTGCGAACAACTCGGATACAAGAAGCCAACAGCCATCCAAGCGGAGGCGATTCCCCTCGCGCTAAAAGACCGGGACATCATCGGTATCGCCGAGACGGGCAGCGGAAAGACCGCCGCGTTCGCCCTTCCGATCCTACAAGCGCTCCTCGAGAAGCCCCAACCTCTGTTCGCGCTGGTCCTCGCCCCGACGAGAGAGCTTGCCGCGCAGATCGCCCAAGCCTTTGAAGCCCTCGGGTCCCTGATCTCGTTACGATGCGCCCTGATTCTGGGCGGCATGGACATGGTGCAGCAGGCCATCGCCCTCGGAAAAAAGCCGCACGTGGTCGTCGCCACGCCCGGAAGGCTGCTGGACCACCTCGAGAAGACGAAAGGGTTCAGCCTGCGCAACATGCGCTATCTGGTCATGGACGAGGCGGATCGCCTGCTGGACATGGACTTTGGCCCGATCCTCGAAAAGATCCTCAAGTTCCTGCCGCGAGAGCGCCGCACTTTTTTGTTTTCCGCCACCATGTCCAGCAAGGTCGAGTCGCTGCAGAGGGCCAGTTTACGGGACCCCCTGAAAGTCAACATCTCTTCCTCAAAATACGCGACCGTTTCTACTCTAGTGCAGCGGTACCTTTTTATCCCGCACATGCACAAGGATACGTATCTCGTCTACCTGTGCAACGAGTTCACCGGACAAACAATCATCATTTTTACTCGGACGGTGCTCGAGACCCAGCGCATAGCGATCCTGCTGCGCACTTTGGGTATGGGCGCGATCCCGCTCCACGGCGGGCTGTCGCAGTCGGCTCGTCTGGGCGCCCTCAACAAGTTCCGCGCCGGCTCCCGCGAGATTCTGGTTGCGACCGATGTTGCCGCGCGCGGTCTCGATATCCCCAACGTCGACTGCGTGCTCAACTTTGATCTCCCGCAGGACTCCAAGACCTATGTCCATCGTGTGGGAAGAACCGCTCGCGCAGGGAAATCGGGCCATGCCATAAGTTTCGTTACTCAGTAGTAAGTGTTTCTTTTTCTTTGTCTCTCTGCCTCAAACCAATAGAGTTTGTTTCTGACAGGAAACCAGTGACCTGGAAATCTGGCTGCGCATCGAGACGGCACTGGGAACAAAACTGCAGGAGTATTCCCTCCAGAAGGACGAGGTGATGGTGTTCAAGGAGCGCGTCGAGGAGGCCCAGCGCCACGCTAGGCAAGAGATGAAGACCCTGATTGATGACCGCGGGAATAGGGGTTCGGTGCTGAAAGGCCACCACAAGGGCAAAAAGAGAGGTGCGCTGGGCGGCAGAGACCACATGGATGCTGAGGAGGGTTGATTGCCTACCTGGTGTGTTGCGGTTATGAGTGACGATGGTCCGAAAGAACAGGAACTAGAAAAAAATTGTAAAAGCTGGGGAAATTGACTGCAGTGTTTTATCCACCCATTATAGGGGAAACTATGAGGTAGAATAGCAATTGGTTTATATCAGTTCATACCGCTTGCCTAAAAATGTTGTGGCATTGTCAACTATTCGGTGACAGATAGCGACAAGTCCTAGGCTGATCTTTGAGCAACCCGTACGATATCCACTGTGTTCAAACGAAGCCATCAACGATAGCATGTGCTGATACTAAGTCTCTGGGGCCATCATTGTCCCTCAGTAAGCACCCTGGTCCAATCAAACTTTCTCCACCGCTTCCTGAACCCCTCGACTCTGTCATCCGACCTGTGCCACCGACCCTGCCGTTTGATGACGTCGGGCTCGCAGTCCAGCATCCCGCCGACGATCTCGCGCGCAAACAGATCCCCCTTCGGCCAGCGCTCCGAGTCCTCAACGATATGCGCCAGCCCGCCGTCCAGCGTGAACCAAACGTGGAAGTAAGGCATCTCCTTGGCAATGCTCCGCCGGAATGCCAATTTCCCCAGGCCTTCGTCGCGCGCCCGCTTGCCGGTGTCGATGATCTTCTTGTGCTGGGACCACTCCTCGTCCGTCGAAAGCATGGCTTCCCTGAAAAACGCGGGCGCGGTGTCGCCCAAGTCGTAAGGGATTGGCACGGCGACCATGGCGGCGTGGAGGTGGCGCTGTGGCGCGGCTGCGTTCTCGTAGAAAAGGACCTCGCGACCCTGGTCGTGATACGACCGCGTCAGGCTCTTCATGAAGTTGCGGATCTCCTCCCACTCGTCGTCGTCGCACTCGAGCAGGTTCGCACGATGGGTAATTGGTACGATGACGGCGCCACCCTCGGCACCAGTGAGCTCCGGGGCCGTGGGGAGGGTGAGATAGACTCTCGTCGCGAGTGATACGATCGGTGCTAAAGGCACGTTTTGCGGGGGTGCGCGGTCCTCGTGG